TTGGTGACTACTACGCCGTCACCGACTACTTCGTACAGGGCCGTAGCTTCAAGGAAGAATGCTGGGTCGCAGACCTTTCCGTCCCGCCCGGTGGCCTCAAGCGTGCAACCATGTACGTGTTGCTCACCTGCTACAAGACACTCGACCACATCCGCCTCCTGCGCCCGCTCTCTACCACACCCGATGAACGAACACGAGTCGTCAAACAGTTCATGGCAGCAACCAAGCTGGACCCCGACCTGGCGGCCGAACTCCGCCTCCTGGATCGCCGTGCAACCGAAACACGTGAACGCTATACGACCGAGTACAAACACGCCAGAAACCTAGAGGAGCGTTGGACCTCCGCAGCCAACACCACCTGACACGTAAAACAGTTCGTCTGCCTCGCCACTGGATGGCGTTAAATGCCAGCGTTGCACGGCTCTCTAGCCGTCCGACGACACGCCCGCACGGCTGGGTGCATCCCTTGCACTTGTGGGTTCGACTCCCACACGGGTGTACTACAAGTATACGCACGCTCCGTCATACTCCTGCCGCCCAGCCGGGGGACTACGGCCCCCTCGCGGGCGACGCAGCCCGCGTCTAGTCCGTCCGTTCGTCCGTCCATCTGTCGGTCCACCACGTCGCCGGTTCAATCCCCAGCGCGCGCGTCTTTTTTTTTGCGCGCTTTTTTTTTCTTTTTTGTTCTTCGTATGCTTCATATGCTTCATATGCTTCATATGCTTCATCTGCTTCATATGCACATATGCACATCTGCTTCATATGCACATATGCACATATGCACATATGCTTCATATGCACATATGCACATGTGTTTCATATGCACAAATGCTTCATATGCAAGCATATGCCACATGCGATGTGCAATCATATGTGATCTGCAAGCATATACGATCTGCAAGCATATACGATATGCAAGCATATGCGATCTGCAAGCATATGCGATCTGCAAGCATATGCGATCTGCAAGCATATGCCAGATGCGATCTGCAAGCATATGCCACATTCGATGTGCAAGCATATGCGATATGCAAGCCTATGCGATCTGCAAGCATATGCAATCTGCGAGCATATGCCAGATGCGATCTGCAAGCATATGCCACATTCGATGTGCAAGCATATGCGATATGCATTTTTGTTCTTCGTATGCTTCATATGCTTCATATGCTTCATATGCTTCATATGCTTCATATGCTTCATATGCTTCATATGCTTCATATGCTTCATATGCTTCATATGCACATATGCACATCTGCTTCATATGCACATATGCACATATGCACATATGCACATATGCTTCATATGCACATATGCACATGTGTTTCATATGCACAAATGCTTCATATGCAAGCATATGCCACATGCGATGTGCAATCATATGTGATCTGCAAGCATATACGATATGCAAGCATATACGATATGCAAGCATATGCGATCTGCAAGCATATGCGATCTGCAAGCATATGCGATCTGCAAGCATATGCGATCTGCAAGCATATGCGATCTGCAAGCATATGCAATCTGCAAGCATATGCCACATTCGATGTGCAAGCATATGCGATATGCAAGCCTATGCGATCTGCAAGCATATGCAATCTGCGAGCATATGCCAGATGCGATCTGAAAGCATATGCCACATTCGATGTGCAAGCATATGCGATCTGCAAGCCTATGCGATCTGCAAGCATATACGATCTATGCTATGCTGTGATATGCCGTACGCGCTATGTTATGCTACGCTATGCCGTACGCGCTATGATATGCCGTACGCGCTTGCGACAGCGCCGTGCAACGTGCAATTTAGCGTGCAATTCAGCGTGCAATTCAGCCCACATGGCTCAGATATGCACATATGCACATATGCACATATGCACATATGCACATATGCACATATGCACATATGCACATATGCACATATGCACATATGCACATATGCACATATGCACATATGCACATATGCACATATGCACGTATGCACGTATGCACATATGCACATATGCACATATGCACATATGCACATATGCAAATATGCACGTATGCTTCATATGCACATATGCACATGTGTTTCATATGCACAAATGCTTCATATGCAAGTATATGCCACATGCGATGTGCAATCATATGTGATCTGCAAGCATATACGACCTGCAAGCATATACGATATGCAAGCATATGCGATCTGCAAGCATATGCCAGATGCGATCTGCAAGCATATGCGGCATTCGATGTGCAAGCATATGCGATCTGCAAGCATATGCAATCTGCAAGCATATGCAATCTGCAAGCATATGCCAGTTGCGATCTGCAAGCATATGCCACATTCGATGTGCAAGCATATGAGATATGCAAGCCTATGCGATCGGCAAGCATATACGATCTATGCTATGCTGTGATATGCCGTACGCGCTATGCTATGCTGCGCTATGCAGTACGCACTATGCTATGCCGTACGCGCTTGCGACAGCGCCGTGCAACGCGCAATCTGCAAGCATATACGATCTGCAAGCATATGCGATCTGCAAGCATATGCGATCTGCAATCATATGCCAGGTGCGATCTGCAAGCATATGCCACATTCGATGTGCAAGCATATGCGATCTGCAAGCATATACAATCTATGCTATGCTGTGATATGCCGTACGCGCTATGCTATGCTTCGCTATGCCGTACGCGCTATGCTATGCCGTACACGCTATGCTATGCTACGCTATGCCGTACGCGCTATGCTATGCCGTACGCGCTATGCTATGCTATGCAATCTGCAAGCATATGCGATCTGCAATCATATGCCAGATGCGATCTGCAAGCATATGCCACATTCCATGTGCAAGCATATGCGATCTGCAAGCATATACGATCTATGCTATGCTGTGATATGCCGTACGCGCTATGCTATGCTTCGCTATGCCGTACGCACTATGCTATGCCGTACGCGCTTGCGACAACGCCGTGCAACGCGCAATTTAGCGTGCAATTCAGCGTCAGCGCCGCTACGGAGCTACGGCCCACTCGCGCGAACAGCGCGCTCTAGTCGCCGTAGCTCATATGTTATGAGCGGAGGCCTATCCTGAGTTCGCTGTCCGTCCGCTGTCCGTCCGTCCGTCTGCTGTCCGGTTGTCTGTCCGGGGCGTTTTGGAAATTCCGGCTCGGGAGCGTGCCGTACGTGCTAAAGACCGCGCCGAAAAGAACGGAAGGTCGCCGGTTCGACCCCCAGCGCGTTTATGTTTTTTTGTTTTATATATTGCACGTATGCATATGCATATGCAATTCAATGCATATATGTGCATATATTTTGCATATGCATATGTGCATATATTTTGCATATGCATATGCAAAATATATTTTGCATATGCATATGCAAAGTTTTTATGTTTTATATATGCATATATGCTATGCTATGCTACGCTATGGTATGCTATGCTATGCTATGCTATGCTATGCTATGCTATGCTGCGCCAAAGCTATGCTATGCTATGCTATGCTATGCATATGCGATCTTCAAGCATATGGGATGTGCAAGCGTATGCGATCTGCAAGCATATGTGACCTGCAAGCATATGCGATCTGCAAGCATATGCGATGTGCAAGCATATGCGCTCTGCAAGCATATGCGATCTGCAAGCATATGCGATATGTAATATGCAATATGCAATATGCAAGGTGCAATATGTTTTAATGTTATATATATGCGATCTCATATGCAAGCTTATGAGACCTGCAAGCATATGCGATCTCATATGCAAGCATATGCGATCTGCAAGTATATGCGATCTGCAAGCATATGCGATCTGCAAGCATATGCAACCTGCAAGCATATGCCATATGCAATCTGCAAGCATATGCCATATGCGATCTGCAAGCATATGCCATATGCGATCTGCAAGCATATGCTATGCTGTGCTATGCTATGCTATGCTATGCTATGCTATGCTATGCTATGCTATGCTATGCTGCGCTATGCTATGCTATGCTGCGCTACGCTATGCTATGCTATGCTATGCTATGCTATGGTATGCTATGCTATGCTGCGCTATGCTATGCTATGCTACGCTATGCTATGCTATGCTATTATGCTATGCTATGCTATGCTATGCTATGCTATGCTATGCTATGCTATGCTATGCTATGCTATGCTATGCTATGCTGAGCTTAAGCTAAGCTATGCTATGCTATGCTATGCTATGCTATGCTATGCTATGCTATGCTATGCTATGCTATGCTATGCTATGCTATGCTATGCTATGCTATGCTATGCTATGCTATGCTATGCTATGCTATGCTATGCTATGCTATGCTATGCTATGCTATGCTATGCTATGCTATGCTATGCTATGCTATGCTATGCTATGCTATGCTATGCTATGCTATGCTATGCTATGCTATGCTATGCTATGCTATGCTATGCTATGCTATGCTATGCTATGCTATGCTATGCTATGCTATGCTATGCTATGCTATGCTATGCTATGCTATGCTATGCTATGCTATCTGCAAGCATATGCAGTATGCAACATGTGTAATCTGCAAGCATATGCGATGTGCAAGCATATGCGATCTGCAAGCATATGCAATGTGCAAGCATATGCGCTCTGCAAGCATATGTGATCTGCAAGCGTATACGATGTGCAAGCATATGCGATGTGCAAGCATATGCGCTCTGCAGGCATATGGGATGTGCAAGCGTGTATGCGATCTGCAAACATATGCGCTCTGCAATCATATGTGATCTGCAAGCATATGCGATGTGCAAGCATATGCAATCTGCAAGCATATGCGCTCTGCAAGCATATGTGATCTGCAAACATATGCGATGTGCAAGCATATGCGATGTGCAAGCATATGCGCTCTGCAAGCATATGCGATCTGCAAGCATATGCGATGTGCAAGCATATGTGCTCTGCAAGCATATGTGATCCGCAAGCATATGCGATCTGCAAGCATATGTGGTATGCAAGCAATGCAGTATGCAAACATATGCGATCTGCAAGCAAATGCGATCT